GCGCGAGTGAGGGAGAGAGTGGGGGCGCGCGAGTGAGGGAGAGAGTGGGGGCGCGAGAGAGAGGGAGTGGGGGGGCATGAGAGAAAGAGTGTGTGGGGGCGCGAGAGAGAGTGTGTGGGGGCGCGAGAGTGAGAGTGTGGGGGCGCGAGAGAGTGGGGACAGGAGAGTGAGAGAATGGGTGCGGGAGAGAGGGCGTGAGAGAGTGGGGGCGGGTGGGCGAGACTTGGGGCCGGAGAGTGTGGGTGTGAGAGAGAGAGAGGGTGGGGGGGCGCAAGAGAGTGTGCGTGAGAGAGTAGGGGCGCGAGAGAGAGAGTCAGTGAGTGTGTGTGTGAGAGTGGGGGCGGGAGAGAGAGAGTCAGCGAGCGTGTGTGTGAGAGAGACCGTGGGGGGGGCGGGAGAGAGGGAGAGTGTGTGTGAGTGGCTGGGGAGAGACGACAAGTTTGTGAGTGTGTGCGAGTGAGAGCATGTGTGTATATGTCATTTAAAACCTTTTAACTGATTAAAGATTTAACAGCATCTCATGTTTATTTAATACATCCTCATCAGTGGCGTGGCCCTTTAATCTTTTACTTATAAATTCTGTGTCTGATACCACCTCTCTCATTAACACCTGAAGAAGAAGCGAAGCTCTGAAAGCCTGTGTTTTCAGATAAACCTGTTGGGCTATAACCTGGTGTTGTGTGACTTTTAACCTAGTACGGAGGTCCTCAGTGCTGCCTGGGAATGACAACCACAATTTTGTGTTCAAGTCTTTGGAGTTGAACACAGTCATCTGACTGGCGTGCAGGTTTTGGACAGGGGTAGACAATGTCAGAATTCACATGACACCAGGTTATTGCCCAAAAGCTTAAGCTTAAGTTTTCAGAGCGCTGCTCCTTCGTCGCTTTGCCTGACAAAGGAGCAGTGCTCTGAAAGTTTATAAATGCAAATAAACCTGTTGGACTATAACCTGGTGTCTTGTGACTTCTGACTTTGTGATAAAATGCTATTGACAGAGCCATGACTGACCCCTTTGCCTGCATTTTAATTGTATAATGTATTCCAAAATTGCCAGGGTGCTTTTCCACTTTCACTCTGGTTTTTATTTAATTATTTTTCCTCCCTTTCCTAAAATTATCTGAATTCATTACGTGAGAAATTGCATAATTTCTATTTGAATGGAGTGTTGCTCTATTGGTTTCCCTATAGTTGTTTGCAGGTGCAGGAAGATAATAAAGCAGTAGAATTGTGTCAAATATGAGAATTTGTAATTGTTAAATGTTAAACATAAGTTTGCTCTTTATTCATTGAAGGTGTAATTGTCATGTAATCCTGTCAGCATCTTGCAGAGAAACAATTGCTGCAAATGCTTTCCTTGTACAATTTCTGTGTGTTAATTGTTGAGAAACGCGCAAGGTATTTCACTATGCTTCATATTTGTAAAAATTCCTTTTTTTTTCTTTAGAGGTATCCAGGTAGAATGTGAAGGAATTTCCAAACATTGCATCAACATTGATGATTTTGTTTTAATCAAAAGTGAAGATGAGGATCAACCATATGTGGCTAAATTGCTAAAGTTAGTTGAGGATGGTAAGGACTGTTCTATATAACCTCATCATTGCTTCTGCTTTGAATGTTTATAGTGAACTGAAAGTTGTGTTGCATTACAGGAAATATGCATGATTTACACAAATATTAGTAATGTCGCAAATGATGGGTTCGTGAATTATCAATGTATGTTTGTTGCCTTTGGCTATCTAAATCCATATTGGAGCACTGTCCTTGCTTTTTACTGTGGTCAACCAAGAGCTGTGTGTAGCTATACCAGGAAAGATTCCATTTAGAGCACAAGCAAAAGAATGTCTGTGCAAATAAGAATTCAACTTTGGATTGTGCTGAAGATCAGTTAATTTGAACTCTGTACAGTCTGATCCCTCTATTTTTGAAGCATGCCTGTTTGTTTTCCATATCACTTTTAATTTTTGCTGGCTTATCTTTTCTCCCCAGGTACCCAACAACATCCCACCAAGACTGCAGTGGTTCAGTGGTTTACTCGTATTGAGGAAATACCAAAACCAAAACAGAAACTGTTGGGAAGAGAGGCCCACCCTAGGGAGGTCTTCTTGTATGAAGTCCCTAATTGTGACGATTGTATCAGTGCAGAGACCCTGATTAAGACTGTAAAAGTAAGGCTTGAGTATGGTAACCTAATCGAGGCTGACATTTTAAATACAGTGTCACGTTGTCAGACATGCTGGGCTTTTGGATATAGTATTTACTCCAGGTATCATTGTCTTTATCCACGGCATTATATAAGTTTATATCGTTGCTGCTTCAGGCTCTTGTGGTGCAATGGTAATGCCCCTATGTCTGACCCAGAAAGCTCAGCACATCTGAACAAGTTGATTTTTAAAAAATTATGTCATTGCTGCTTGTGGGATCTTGCTGTTCATGAACTATCTGCCTGTTATATACTTGTGACTATTATGTGTGCTGAACGTTATCAATATGCTTTATTATGGAATATATATCTTGTAAGGCAGAAGAAATGTCATGAAAGCTTTTGGAAACTGAAACTAGAATTGAACGATTCCTTGAACAATTTTGTTCACTGGTATAATCATGGACTGTCAGTACAGATATGGTAGATATATAGATCGTAGAATCCCTACAGTGTAGAAACAGGCCGTATGGCCCCAACAAGTCCGCACTGAACCTCGAGCATTCCACCCAGACCTATCCCCCTGTAACCCACCCTGATCACGATGGGCAATTTAGCATGGCCAATCCACCCAACCTGCACATCTTTGGACCGTGGGAGGAAACCGGAGCGCCCGGAGGAAACCCACGCAGACACGAGGAGAATGTGCAAGCTCCACACAGACAGTCACCCAAGGGTGGTGGAAAAGGTTCAGACCATTCAGTTAAGGATATTCAATTAAAAGTAGCCCAGATTGCTATCCTGATCATTCTTCCCATTATTTTCAGTTTTATAAAGATGAAAGGGAAACTTCTTAGTTTTGATTAACTATTTCTCTTGTTCGTTGTTGCAGCTTGGTCAATAGTTCTGTGAGTAGGCTAAATTCTGCATGCTGGAGAAGTGGAAGAATGAAGTACAGGATTTCTACAGATTTCACTCTGCTATTATTGTATATTGAAAATAGAACTGAGCTATCTTCACGTTATTGCAGTCTAAGCAGGAAGGATTGGTAGCACTGCCATCTGCATTACTCTGTTAGGTTGTAATAAAGACGTAGCTTGGACCAGAACTTATTTTCTTTTTGGGATACATTTATTACCTATTGCTAGATGCCCTGAAAAGTAATAAAATTGCCTTGTAATGCAAGCCTGATCAAATAAGAATGGCAAAGGTTCCATCCCTGATGACATGAGTGAAGTGAATGGATTTTAGACAAATTAGCAGTTTTTATGGTAATTTTAATCCACAAATTAGAAGATTTGTGTTTTAATTTAATTTCATTTAATTTCACGTGAAGTGATCATCAGCAACCTTTGAGAAGCCATGCAAAATTATTTTCTTTTCTCCAATCACTTTCTTTACAAGCTGTGTTTAGAATTTTCTCAATGATTTGAAAATTGGATTAATTAATCCTGAAGTGACATGGGGAGGTTATGGCCTAGTGGTATTATCGCTAGACTAATAATCCAAAATCCCCAGGTAATGTACTGGAGACCTGGATTTGAATCCTGCTATGGGAGGTGGTGGAATTTGAATTTAATAAAAATCTGGAATTAAGAGAATAATGATAACTATGATGCCATTGTTGATTGTCAGGAAAAACTCATCTGGTTCACTGACGTCCTTTAAGGAAGGAAACAGTCATCCTTACCTGGTCTGGCCTACATGTGACTCCAGACCTATGGCAATGTGATTGACTCTTAATTGGCCTCTGGATAATTAGGGATGGGCAACAAATGCTGGCCTATTCAATAATGCCCACATCTTGTGAGTTCATTTTAAAAAAACTGCTTTTGTTTTTGTTTCTAAGTCTTAATGAAGCACGATACAAATTTGGAATGAATTTATTACTTTTCACCTACATGTTTGGTATCGTAAAAAGTGGCCCATTCTTGATTTCTGATCTGCTCTGGAGCTCCCTTCAGTATTGAGTTTAAGGTATTAAATTATAAATCTCTGTCATGGCTGGCCTCTTTTTGGAAATGTGAACATTCTGTGAGCTCCGTGCACTTGGAATTTCAAAGTGTCTTGAAACGGGTGAATAAGGAGCAATAAAATCATGCTTTCCTAGCATCTATGCAGTGATGTGACCGTTTGAAGATGTTGTGTATCTGTAGAGGCCCCAAGGAGGTGGAGTGGGTATGGATGCATTTAGGCATCAAAAGATAAATCAGTGCTGTTAGACACTTAGTTGTGGTCAAGTAAAATGTGGTTTTAGCTATAATCTATGCAGTCAGTTTGGGAATTGCTTAATGTAGAATTATAAACATGATTGTGCAAGACAGGTACATTTGAGAATGCAAACGAATCCATTCTTTTTGTAAAGAGTTAATCTGCAAAATTGTTCAGAAAATTGAAAGTGGAAATTGTGCAGCGCAAGGACAGGTGAAAAATGAAGAACATGAATTTGAGGCATTGATCTAGAAATTCAGTTGCACCTTTCCTCAAACTGACTGGCCTGTTGATATGTGGTCAATGTGGTCAGCAGGCTGTGTTCACATTTCCAGTGGAAATCAGCTATTTGCCATGTTGTATTAGATTGGCACCTGTGCATCTTGCAGACTCTGAGAATGGAGCCAAATGGACAATATTCAGGTACCTTGGACCTGACCATTCAAAACAGCACATTACATTCATTTTTTTGGGCACTGAACTGAAAACATTATGAATCCAAGTTTTAAAAATTTAGTTCTTTTGAATTGAAAATCTCATATAGATCTGAGCTGGTAATGTCCAGTTTGTTTTTGCTAAAAACCCATACTTGGTCTTGCTACAGTTGGTCATTGGTACTAAATATTCATAAACAGCATTGAAAAATGTTTTACACAAGTTCTAACCCTTCTTTATAACATCTAAACTTCTTATTTTAGGTTTTCCAGATTGATCCCGAGGAACCATTTCCTTCCATTGAAGCTGGTGATGATGACTCTCTGTTTGTTAAATTAAACTGGGATGGAAAAAGTTTTAATGTGCTACCTAAAAATACCTTTTCCGTAAAGAAAACTAATAATCACCATAAAAATTTGGATTCATTACCCCGGAGGGTACAGAAGGTGTCTCGTCAGAATTCTGTTCCAAAGCAGCATGCTGTTGTTGGGGACTGGTGTGACTCAGAGGTTTACAGTATTGTCAGTGGAGATGGAACATTAAGCAGAAATGTTATTAACCACAATTCCAAACATGGTGCTTCCAGAGTGAATGAGGGAAAATCTAATTGCTCTGGTCAGAAAAATTGCAATGATAGGAAGCGGAGTACAGAAATCACAAATGTGGAGAGCAGCAGTTCAAAAGTTAGGAGGAAGCTTTCTCTTTCTGGTAAGTGAGTGGCTCAGTTTGCACCTAATTTTTGATGTGCTTTGTGCATCAAGAATGCATAATGCCTAGAGGAAATATACTGAAATAGAATGGATAATTACTTTGGAGGGGATGCTGAATTCTGAACTTAAAATATATCACAGGCTGTAGGCAATCATGATATTGAGGCCTTGAGATTTCTCTTTTTAAACTAGGGATTCTCCCTGTTATAGGATTTCAGTTGCTGTTTTGCACACATGGAGGCTGTAGTTGTGATTTCAATCTTGTCATCACATCTGTTTGATGATAGGCAAGGAACAGAGGTAGTCCATTTAGCCCCTCAAGACTGTTCCAACCATTCAGTGAGATCATGGCTGATCTGTGTCCCAACTCTATATACTTGCCTTTGGCAATACCTTTGCTTAACAAAAAAAACGATCTCAGATTTAAAATTAACAATTGATCCAGCATCACCTGTCATTTGTGGAAGAGAACATGTAACCTGTATACTGATTTTGTAAAATACTCAATGCAGCTGTATCAAACTAAAATACAGGGACACTTATAGACTTTCTGGACTGCCTGTATGTAATCCCAGCAGGCATGGTTATGGAACTCTTTGTGGACAGCTGCGAGACATGGGTGCTAAATTTTCCCCTCATCTTATAAATTTTCACCTTATTTATGAAGGCCATTCAAACATTGGGACATGTTATCTTAGTAGTTGTGCCTGCTGATTCTAGATGCAGAATCGGCTTAGTTTCGTTGAGGCTTTTTAACTGGCGACAGTGCTGCAGAAAACATTTTATTTTTCTTGATTTAGAATGCCCTTTATGTACTTAGGTATTTGTGATTCTTGACTTAATGATTTAAAAATACTTCTTTCCATTTGCAGATTTTAATGAGAGTAAGCTAAGAAATATTTTATCAGAATTGTTAGATGAGGATGGTGATGGGGATACTTTTTCTGCAAAAGTGTCTCAGCTGATGGAATCTGCGACTATGAAAGACACAGAAGATTTAACTGGCATTTCAGATGATGCTTTTTCACCCAGTAAGAAGTTGCAAGATGAGTCACCTAGAAATTATACCATCTGTCCTGTTAAACTGATTGAAGACGAGGTGAACAATAAATTTCCCACTTTGAACTTGACACCTATTCACGTCAATCCAAAAATTAAGCAACAAGTCTTTTCAAGCCAGTGCCGAAAGAATGGCGAAATAACTGATTTTCAGAAGTAAGTTGAGCAATGTTTTAACCTTTTCAGTGGCACACTTTTCATTTCTTAGGTAGAGGAGGGGAAAAATAGTTTATTGCTACATTGATATGCCAGCTTATGAAGCATATAGTATGATAATGAAAACTGAAAATGCTGGAAATCAGGCAGCATAGAGGAGAGACTATTAATGTTTCAGATCAATGAACTCTTATAACAGGGAGAAAGTTAGAAATGCAATTTCTTTTGAGATATGAGAGGCAGAGAAACTACATTCAATTTTGTGGAATGAAGTGGATAGATGAAAAGAGAATGGAGAGGTAGAAAATAGTTGCAACCAGTAATTTCGACAGCGTGTCTTTAAGTCCCAGAGGTAGGTGAATTAAGCACTAAGTAGAAGGAAGTAAATGATCAGATATGCTATATGTAGAACCAATAATTCAGAATGGTTATAGACAGTACGGGTTCAGTGATGTCCACATCCCGCAAGTGATTAAAATAAGAGTATTTGATCAACTGGCACATTCCTGGTCCCATTGGTGTCAGTTAATAAAATGTTTGCTGGACTTAGCAGGTCTGGTGGCAACTGCCTCAAAGCCAACTTTGCATCCAATTTGTACTTTCTCTTGTTATGGCAGTGGTCACTTTCCTGTATTAATCAAGCTATTTTTTAAAAAGCACAGAGGGTGTAGTATTGGAATGGCTTCAACCACCATTCAAGCCATGGCTAGATACCTGTAGAGTTTTAGTTATTGTCTTAGAAAAAGTATTTGAATTTTACTGTAGAGAAACATGTTGCCAAAGCTTTTCTTCTTGCACTCATCAGGACTAATGCAAGAATGGCAAATTTCAAACAGTCAACACAATCTACGCTACTGGACAAAAATGATGCTGATTCGTTGACAAGTCAGCTGTGATTAGCTCAGGCATTGCCACGAATAAAGCAATGAGGAATTACAGGCTGCCTAAGCAACTGAGGAAAATGCGCCAGCTCCCCCCACACTCCACATAATCATCTAAGTTAAAACATGATTTACCAGGATGCTGCCTGGACTGGAGGGCAGATCTTATGAGGAAAGGTTGAGGGCATTTCTCACTGGAGCGAAGAAGATGAGAGGTGACTTGATAGAGGTGTACAAGATGATGAGAGGCATAGATAGAGTGGATAGCTGGAGACTTTTTCCCAGGGCGGGAATGAATGTTACGAGGGAACATAATTTTAAGATGGTTGGAGGAAGGTATAGGGGAGATGTCAAAGCTAGGTTCTTTACACAGAGAGTGGTGGGTGCGTGGAATGCGCTGCCGGCGGTGGTAGTGGAATCATACATTAGGGACATTCAAGCGACTTTTGCATAGGCACATGGATGATAGTAAAATGTAGGGTATGCAGGTTAGCTTTGATCTTAGAGTAGGATAATAGGTCAGCACAACATCATGGGCTGAAGGGCCTGTACTGTGCTGTACTTTCTATTTCTATGTGGAAGATATTGTCATGCAGCCTTCTCTCTATAGCCTGGAAAATACCAAGCATTCTGAGATTCCTTCTTGATGGTAGAGAAGTAATTCCAAGAAATATGACTCCTAACACCTGACCTACATTCCTCCTGAGTGCAGCAGTTATGCCATGAAGCCTGGATGTCTCTAGGCAATCTAATTACAAGCACGGGAGAATCAAAATGTTTATGTTAACTTCATATGTGTGCATGTACAATGTATGCACGTTACCTAGATTTAAGAACCCAGAAACAAACCATCTCTCCTAAATGGTCCAAGTCGGTGTTGATACTTCATATGAGCCTCCTCCTGCCTCGACTTCATGATCCCAACTTCCATGTCCTTCTGTCCCTTTCTCCCTGGGTACTTAATTAGCCTTCTTTAATGTATTTTATGCCATTCTCCTCAATTATTTCCAGAGACAGAAATTTTCTGTATGTAAAATGGTTACTAAAATATGTATGTAAATGTACTTTCTGGGCAAGTTTTGGAAGAAACCTCTATCTACGACCATGTATGTTCAAGACCATAAAATGTAGGAGCAGATTTGGCTATTTGGTCCATCGAGTCTGCTCTGCCATTTGATCAAGGCTGATCTGTTTCTCAACTGCATTCTCCTGCCTACCCTGGATCCCTTTACTAGTCAAAAACCTGTCTATCTCTATCTTAAATACACGCAATGACTTGGCTTCTACAGTCATCTGTGACAATGAATTCCACAGATTAACCACTCTCTGGCTGAAGAAATTTCCCCCTTATCTCAGTTCTGAAGGGTCACACCTTCACTCTGAGGCTATGCCCTTGAGTTCCAGTCTCTCCCACCAGTGGAAATATCTTCTCCATGTCCACTCTATCCAGGCCTCTCATTATTCTGTAAGATTCAAGGAGAGATCTTCCCTGCCTTTCAGCTCCACTGAGAACAAACCCAAAGTCCTCAACCACACCTTGTATAACGAGCACTTCATCCATGGAATCATTCCTATAAACCACCTCTGGACCTTCTCCAATGCTAGCACATCCTTCCTTAGATATAGCGCCTAGAACTGCTCAGATTATTCCAAATGCGGTCTGACCGGAGTCTTCTCCAGCCTCAGCAGTACATTTCTGCTCTTGTATTCTAGCCTTCTTGAAAGGAATGCTAACATTGCATTTTCTTTCCTAACTGCAACTGCACCTTAAGAGAATCTGAACTAGAACTCCTAAGTCCCTTTGTACTTCAGATTTCTGAAGTCTTTCCCCATTCAGAGAATGTTCTATGCCTCTATTCTTGCCAAAGTACATAACCTCACATTGTATTCTATCTGCCACTTCTTTGCCGGCTCGTCTACCTTGTCCAAGTCCTTCTGCACCCTCTCCACTTTCTCCTCCTATCTTAAATAATAGATAACAAGGTGTGGAGCTGGAGGATCACAGCAGGCCAGGCAGCATCAAGGGAACAGGAAAGCTGACATTTCAGGTCAGGACCATTCTTCATTTCTGACTCCTGATTCTGATTCGGGTCCCGACCTGAAATGTCAGCTTTCCAGTTCCTCTGGCCTGCCGTGTTCCTCCAGCTCTACACTTTGTTATCTCTATCTCCAGCATCCTCAGTTCTTGCTATCCCTCCTCCTATTTTTTTGTCACTGGCAAACTTAGTAACAATGCCCTTAGTTCCTTCGTCCACATCATTAATGAATAACATGAATAGTTGTGGTCCCAACACTGACCCCTGTGGAACTCAACTAGTCACTGGCTGCCATCCTAAAAAAGACCCCTTTTATCCCTACTCTCTGCTTTCTGCCAGTCAGCCAATCCTCTATCCATGCCAGTACCTTACCCCTAACCTGTGGGCTCTTATCTAGTTTAGCAGCCTACTGTGCAGCATTTTGTCAAACATCTTCTGGAAATTCAAATAGATCAGTATTAAGTTAAAGGTTTAAGGAAAGCTTTGGTACAAAACCTATCCCATCTTTTTTTTTTAATTGGCCTTGTGTAATTGCCCACACTTTTTGATGAATTGAGCAGTTTCTAATTTGTCTAATTTAATCATTTTAGGCCAAAGAGAAAGGAAAATGAAAGTAAGATAGAGAATATCACTGAGACTCCAAGGTCTCGAAGAAAGTCTGCACAGAGCTGTTTAGCTGTTCTGAAACAGTACTTAAAGTAAGGTTTTGCCATTATTAATATTGTTTCTTTTTCTCCTTTCATGCAAAGGAATCTCTGGTTTTATGCTGCACACAGTTGGTAGAAACTGTGGTGTCTTGTATTTTGGATTGAAGTTCATTTTTCAAGTTTTAATAAATTGCATTACATTGTGATTCATTTCTTTTATTATACAGTCATAGTATTAAAGCCAGTTGTTTGATTGTGAATGCCTGAAATTTAAATGTCATGACAGTCTTTCATTATGAATTAAGAGATTGTACTAGTAATCAGTTTTAATGAGGAAGGCCCATAATGTAGAACAACATACATGAATGGAAGTGGGGAAGGTGATGCCTTGGGTGAGAGGAGTTTGTCTTGTGAAAATTTATGCTTTCAATTTTTATCACTTTTTCTGCATGTTTACATAAATCTTTGCATTCAAAATCTTACACTCTCATATTAATTGTAGTAATGCTTCTAGATGAATTTTTGCAGCTGTAAAATTCTGTTTATAGTTTTTTGTTCTTCTCTAATTATCTAACTCTGTGCTGAAGATATTGATGAAACGTATGATGTGCATTTCTGCAGCTCTCTGGTACCCAGCAATATGTCCATCCTTTAAATTCAGATGTTGAGTGTCAGTATCTGTTTACTAACTCAGCACAGGCCATAATAAAAACATAGTCTGTATATCTCCATATATCATCATATACAGCGCATTTATCCAGTTAGCATTTGAAGGTACACTTGCTCTTAATTTAAAACTCGTGCTGACTGAAATAAATTCCTTTATACTTATCAATTTTTAACTACCCAACACTAATGTAAACTTTGTTGTGGTTTGATTCCTACACTATTATTTCTAAGCATAAATCTTGACTTTAATTAAGAAATGATCAGGATAACGAAGTGTCTGATGAAAATGAATTCCTTCCTGACCAAGAAGAAAGGAGTGAAAACAGCAGTGAGAATGAGGAGGCAGAGGATGGTGTACAGTACAGTAAGAAATCAACAAAGAGGGTTGTTTCTAAAACACCGAATGCCACAGCAAAGAAGTCGAGAAAAACTCCAAGCAAAATGGTATGTCAGTAGTGAAAATCCTTGATACTAGCAGACAACAGCAAATTTATTTTGTCTATAGTGGTATTATTTGCAAACCAATTAAGTAAGGCTTCAAGGCTGTAAGAAATATTATCAGGGGTTTTGCCCCTCGAGCCTGCTCCACCATTCAATAGGATCATGGCTTTTCCAACAATAGATGTTCAGCTAATTGGCCGATAGTGACCCACTTTTTGCCTCCCGCCATTTTTGAAAAGCGGTGCAATGTTGGCAGTTTCCAATGCTCTCGGAATGCTCTAGAATCGAAGGATTTTTGGAAAACAGGAACCAATGCATCCACTATCTCTGTTAGCTACTTCTTTTAGGATCCTAGGAGCCAGCCATCAGGGCCAGGGGATTTTTCTGTGTTTACCCCCATTATTTTGTCTAATACTATTTCTCTGGTGATGGTGATGGTACTCAATTCCTCCCCCATACTCTTTAGTATTAATGGGACGTTCGAAGTATCTTCCACTGTAAAGCCTGTTGCAAATGTTTGTTTAACTCCTCTGCCATTTCTTTGTTCCCCATAACTGTCTTCCCAGATTTATTTTCTAAGGGGCCTATGTTCACTTTGACCTGTCTGTTCCTTCTTATGTTCAAAGAAGCTCGTATTGTCAGTTTTTATATTCCTCGTTAGATTGTCCTCGTAGTTTATTTTCTCTGTCTTTATTATCTTTTTAGCCCTCCTTTACTGGATTTAGAATTTATCTCAGTCTTCAGGAGTATCGCTGACTTTTGCCCCTTTATATGTGTTCTTTCCTTCAACTTAATAATCTCCTTCAGTTACTTGGTTAGTCATGGGTGGTTTATCCCTCTCTTAGAATTTTTCCTCTTTACTGGGATGTGAGTTTACTGAGAGTCACTTCTTTAAATGTCTACCACTGCTTGCTTACACTCATTACTGCTTATCTGTCCGCCCAATTAACTTTATCTTCATTTCATTGTAACTGCCTTTGTTTAAGTTAAACACTGTTGTTTCTGACCCACATTTTTCACTCTCGAACTGAATATTAAAATCTATCATGTTATAGTCTCTGCTTCTTAGGGGATCTTTAACTCTTAAGGTCATTTATTAAACCTGATTCAGTATCCATTACCAGGTCCAGCATAGCCTGTTTTCCGGTTGGCTTCATGAAACATTGCTCCAGTAAACTATCCGTAATAAATTCTGTGAATTTGTTGTCGTAGCTACCCGTTCCAATTTGATTACCCAGTCAATGTGAAGATTAAACTCACCTATAATTAATGCTCTATTCTTTTCATGTGCTCCTACTATTTATTCATTTATAGCCTTTCCCACAGATCAGCTACTGTTTGAGGTTTGTACATTACTACCAGTGTCTTCTTTCTCTTCTTGTTTTTTAACCTCTGCCACAATGGACTCGACATCATCCAAGATTAGACAATCTTCCACAACTGTCATAATTTCAACTCCGAGTAACAGTGCTACCCCACCAAATTTTCTATCCCTCCATCTTTCTGAAAGGTCAAATATCCTTGAATGCTAAATTCCCACTTTTGATCTTCTTGTAACCATGTTTCCATAATGGCTATGAGATTATATTCACCATCTTCTCAAGGACAACGAAGGAAAGGCAATAAATGCTGGTCCAGTCAATGACACCCATGTTCCATGAGTGAATAAAACAGAATTTAAGTTCGCTATCCGTTTGTTCACCTTATTCCAAATACTTTGTGTGAAGCCTTTAATTTGCTTTTAAACACTTATGGAACATACGCATTGCCGGCTGGCCAGTATTTATTGCCTATTCCTAGTTTCCATTGAAAAGATGGTGGTGAGCTGCCGCCTTAACCGCTGCAGTCCTCATGCTCTAGGTTGACCCACAAAGCAGTGGGTGATGGAGGGTGTGCATGCTTGTGGATGTGGTGCCAATCAAGCAGACCACTTTGTCATGGATGCTGTCAAACTTGTTGAGTGTTGGAGCTGCATTGATCCAAGTACAGAGTGAGTATTTCATCACACATTTGACTTGGGCATTGTAGATAGTGAACAGACTTTGGGGCGTCAGGAGGTGAGTTACTTGTCACAGAATTCCTAGCCTCTGGCCTGCCCTTGTAGCCGCATGTGGTGAGTGAAGTTGAGTTTCTGGTCAGTGATAACCCCCAGGATGTTGATAGGGGATTCAACGATGGTTATGCCATTGAATGTCAAGGTGTGCTGGTTAGATTGTCTCTTAATGGAGATGATTATAGCCGAGCATTTGTTTGCCATGAATGTTACTTGCCACTTGTCAGCCCAAGCCTGAATATTAAGCAGATCTTGTTAAGTTCGAACAAAGACTGCTTCAGTATCTGAAGAGTCGTGAACGGTGCTGAACATTGTGACCTTCTGACTTTATGTTGGAGGGAAGGTCATTGATGAAGCAACTGAAGATGGTTGGGCCGAGGACACCACCCTAAGGAACTCCTCCTGAGCTGTCCTGGAGCTGAGATGACTAACCGCCAACAACGACAGCCAACTTCCTATCTGTTAAGTATGACTCCAACCAGCAGAGAGTTTGCCCCCTGATAACCATTGATTCCAGTTTTGTTAGGGCTCCTTGATGCCACATTCACCTCTGGAATTCGACTCTTTTGTCCATGTTTGAACCAAGGCTGTAATGAGATTAGGAACTGAGTGGTCCTGGCGGAACCCAAATTGGGCAGCATTAAGCAGATGCTCTTTGAAAGCACTGTTGATGACACCTTAAATCATTGAGAGTAGACTCATGAAGCAGTAACTGGTCAGGTTGGATTTGTTCTGCTTTTTATGTACAGGACATACCTGGGAAAATGTCTACATTGTCAGGTAGATGCAACTGTTATAACTGCGCTGGAACAACTTGGCTAGGGGAGCAGCAGCAAGTGCTGGAGCACAGGTTTTCAATACTATTTCTGGAATGTTGTTAGGGCCAATACCCTTTGCAGTATCTAGTGTCTCCAACCGTTTCTTGATACTACATAGAATGAATCAAAATGACTGAAGACTGGTATCTGTAATGCTGGCGACCACTGGAGGACACCGAGACGGATCGTCCACCCAGCACTTCTGGCTGAAGATTGCTTAGAATGCTTCAATCTTGTATTTTGCTTTGATGTGTTGAGCACTTCCATCATTGAGGATGGGGATATTTGTGGAGCCCCTTCCTCCACTAAGTCTTCTGTTATCGAATTTCCCAACAGTTGATGTCGTGACTACATGTTAAATCCACAGAATAATCTTTTTAAAACTCAGAACTTAAACTAAAGGCTTAGCACAGTGTAACTTGTAATATGACAGTCACACATTTTGTCCCTTGCTTTTATTTTCTGATAACAATCAACCCATCACTAACTTGCAATACTATCTTCTCCTTTACCTTTGATTTTCTAATTTTCGAAGCAACTGAACACCTATCTCAGCAGACAATTTACCTCGACTCTGGTATAATTCAATGGAGCCCATTCGAGCAGAACAGCTCCCTCCTTCCCTGCTACTGATGCCAATGTCAACCCATTTGTCCCACACCAATCTTTGAGCCACGTGTTTACATCTATAATTACTTGTGGCTTGGGTAGTAATCCAAACTTTTATTGCTTTATTCTAATTTTTGCTTTTTAATTTAGCCATTCACAGATCATATTCCCTCAGCAGAACCTCTTTCCTCTTTCTATCTATATCGTTGGTATCTACATGGACCACAATGGCCAGATTGTTCCCCTCCCACTTTAAGTTCCTCTGCAGCCCAGATGAGATATCTTGAAACCAGGTACCAGGTAGACAAAACAGCCTTTGGGACTTTCTTTCCAGGCCACGGAGAACGGTGTCTATTCCCCTAACAATACTATCCCCAATAACAACTGCATTTCTTTAAAACTCTTTAAAACATTTTTCCTCCTTACCTCAAATTATTTGGGGATAGGTGACATTATTGTCTATATTTGCAATGCAGTAGTTGGAATATAAAATGTGTTTGACATTGATCAAGTTGGTAGCTATGCAGTAGATTTTTGACCACAATATCTGTAAAAGTCTTTTATTCAAAGTGTATGATTTATATTTTTGTTTTAAATTATATTCAGCCTGTGTCACAGTCTCTAAGGACACCCTACTATCCTACTCCTAGTATTCCTCTGAGGAGCCAGCAGGCTAAAACACCTGGGAGCATATTGGAAGAGGCCAGAGCAAGGTACTAAGTGCAAGGATATTTGCTGAAACACATTGTGGGTTAAGGTCTGCTCTAAAAATAGAATCTGGTTAAGTTTAAATAGTTAAGAATCTTAAAAATGAGCTGTCAAAGGTATTTTTACTATCAGTTAATCACTTTCAGAATAATAAATGTACGCAGTTTTGTCGTGACTACATGTTAAATCCACAGAATAATCTTTTTAAAACTCAGAACTTAAACTGAAGGCTTAGCACAGTGTAACTTGTTATTGTGTAATTTAGTGTCTTCCTATGACTGATGAGTTTCTAACACTATTATATTCTAAATGTATTTCCACAAATATTAATCATTTTGAAGAGATCGTGTTATCAAGGAGTTAAAAAGACTTATTAACAGTCATTGTTATAAAAAATGGAAATTGTGAGACTTGTTGTGTTGGGATTTTTCATTGTCTTTTCCCAGAAACTAAATTTAATGTTCTGTATTATTTAGGTAAGTGGAGAGAGGGTTAGTTTTTTAAGATGATCAGGTTATTCGAGCATAATGAAAGAAAAAGTGGCTTGCCAGTTACAAACGCTTGGCTTCTTTTTGCATTGACTCCTTATGAGCATTATTATGTGAAGTGTGATTCCAAAGTTTTTCTGACTTGCCTATTTTACTTTCCTAAGATTGCATGTGTCTGCATTACCAGAGTCTTTACCCTGCAGAGAGCAAGAATTTCAAGACATCTATAACTTTGTGGAGAGTAAAGTGATTGATGGTACTGGAGGGTATGAAACATTTCCTCTTGTTGAAAGTGTCTATTCAGTATATTTTTGATGCATTGTGTTAATGAATAGGTTGCTTTCCTCTTTGGCAATGCATTTTGAATATTCTACTCATTTAAAGATTGATAGAAAAGAGGATGACTGCCCTCCTAGGAGGAAATTTACTGGGTGAGAGGTGAAGCTGGAATGAATCTCTTCTTTTATTCTCGACCAACTTGCTGTCTTTTTAAAATGGGATTGATATATGATTGGGAAGGAACCGTTTCCAATTATGCACATGGGAAAAGAAAGACAACCTAAATTAGAAAATTTGAAAAAGGATTAATGGAAAAACATACAGAATAAGCCAAGGTAGTTACTGGTGTTTTAAACAGAAACCTAGAAACTTGGAGCGAAACTCGGGCGTTCGGCCCTTCAGGTCAATTGAGTCATTCACTATGATCATGGCTGATATTCTATCTCAGTGCCATATTCTTGCTTTCTTCACATAACCCCAATGCCTTTCAAATTTAGAAAGATTATCTATATCCCATTCTTAAATATGTTCAATGACTTGCCTTCTGTAGTAGAGAACTCATTAGGTTCCATGGCAGATGGTAGAATTTGAATTCAATAAATATCTGGAATTAAGAATTTACTGATGACTGTGAATCCATTGTTGATTGCTGGAAAACCCATCTGGTTCACTAATGTCCTTTAGGGAAGGAAGCTGCTATCCTTACCTGGTCTGGCCTACATGTGACTCCAGACCCACAGCAATGTGGTTGACTCTTAACTGCCCTCTGGGCAATTAGGGATGGGCAACAAATGCTGCCTAGTCAGCGATGCCCTCAGTCTGTGAATGAATAAAGAAAAAAGAAGGTTTACTACCCTTTGAGTGAAGAATTTTTTCCTCATCGCATTGCTAAATGGCCTACCCTGTATTCTGAGACTGTGACTCCTAGTTCTAGATAGCAGTCAATATGAGGCTTCTTCAATAATCTGTAATGGTTATGTGCCAGTTATATTAACCGTGACATTGTTTGACTGCAACCAGTCCGGAGCTAGAGATGACCATGTGTTTCATGGCTGAAGAAAGTAAATGTATTGACCTGAATTTTGCATTGTAATGATGTCAAAATCATCCGTTTTTGTTGTCACTGTTTTCTCACTCCCACAAGAGTGCATTGTTCAACAGTGAAAATCACTTGAATTGACATGAACCTCCACTTTTTCACAAATAGGGATTATGCAGGAAACCATAGACTGGTGAGACTCATATGAGTGGTTGGGAAGCTATTGAAGAGAATTATTAAGGATAGGATTTACGCGCATTTGTAAAAGCATGGCATAATTACTAACTTAGTGATTTGATTGAATTTTTTGAGGAGGTGACAAAGGTAATTGATGAGGGTAGAGCAGTGGATGTTGTTTACATGGATTTTATTAAGGCTTTTGACAATGTCCCTCATGGTAGGTTCACTCAGAAGATTAAGATGCATGGGATGCAAGGTGACTTGATGGTGTGGACTAAGATTGGCTTGTCCATGGAAGGCAGAGGATGGTGGTGGAAGGGTGTTTTTCTGGATGGAGGTCTGTGACTTGTGGTGTTCTGCAACTATTTGTACTGGGACCTCTGCTGTTTGTATTATATAAATAGAAATGACTTGGATGTAAATGTAGATGGGTGGATTAGTAAGTTTGCAGATGATACAAGGATCAAGGAGTTGTGGATAGTGTAGAAGGTTGTCAAAGGATACAGTGAGATATAGGTCAGTTGTGGTTATGGGCGGAGTTTAATCCGGATAAGAGTGAAGTGCTGCACTTTGGGAGATCAAATGTTAAGGAAAAGCGTACAGTTGATGGTAGGACCCTGAACAGCATTGATGTACAGAGGGATCTTGGGGTTCAAGTCCATAGCTCCCTGAAAGTGGCCGCGCAAATAGATAGGTAAAAAAGGTGTATGGCATGCTTGCTTTTATTTGTCAGGGAATTGAGTACAAGAGTCAGGATTCATGTTGCAGCTTTATAAGACTTTGGTTAGGCCACACTTAAAGTATTGTGTTCAATTCTGGTTGCCACATCACAGGAAATGTGGAGGTTCTGGAGAGGATGCAGAAGAGGTTTACCAGGATGTTGCCTGGACTAGAGGGTATGAGCTATACGGAGAGGCTAGAAAAACTCAGATTGTTTTCTCTAGAGTGGCGGAGGCTGAGGAGAAACTTGATAGAAGTCTATAAAATTATGAGATGCATAAATAGGGTTGATGGTCAAAATCTTTTTCCCCCATAGAGTTGAAATGTAATTAAGGTGAGAGGGTGGAATTTCAAAGGAGATGTGAGGGGCAAGTTTTTTTTACACGGAGAGTGGTAGGAGTCTGAAGCACACTGCCAGGGGTGGTGGTGGAGGCAGATATGATAAGGGGTGTTTAAGGCCCTTTCAGGTAAGCACATGAATATGCAAGGAATGGAGGGTATGGGCCAACAGCAGACAGAAGGGATTAGTTTAATTTGGTGCCATGTTTGGCACAACATCGTGGCCTGAAGGGCCTGTTCCTGTGCTGTACAGTTCTGCATTCTAGGTTCTAAATAGTCTGGCTGTAAAAGGAAATCCTTGGAAAGGCTATGCCTTATTGACAGAGGTATAACTGTTTTTATTGATGCACTAAGTTCATAATTATCGTTGAGCAGTCTCTGTGGCCCAGAGGACCTAATTATTGTATTTGTGGCATGACATTTTTTGCATCGATTTGAGAAAAACAGAAGTTTAACATTTCAGCTTCCACGTTGATATTTTGTATATATACCCATTCTTATTTTTCTGTGAAATGATTGAAAGGTGAAGGGCTTATACAGGATAAGGTAAATGGCAAAGGTCTTTTTCCCGAAGGTGGGGATGGTCAAAACTAGGGGGTGTATTTTTAAGGTGAGAAGAGAAAGTTTTAACAAGATGTGAGCGGTTAGTTTGTGGAATGAACAGCCAGGTACAACGTTTAAATAGTTATAACATTTAAAAGACATTTGGATAAATATATGAAAAGGAAAGATTTGGAAGGATATGGTCCCAATTCAAGCAAGTGGGACAAGTTTAGTTTGGGAACATAGTTGGCGTGGACTAGTTGGATCGAAGGGTCTGTTTCCATGCTGTATGACTCTATGACAGTAAATATTTTTTACTACTTGGATTGCTGTTTGAGAATTCTTCAGTGTAACGAATTAAATGCTTACTGTGCATAATGACATAATTATTGCTCGATGCCTGAAGATGATCTTGAATTGACAATGAATGAAAGTAATTTTGGGAGTGGAGAAGCCCATACCACGGACAGTTGTATCTTTTGAAGCTGTTTTCATGATTAGTGATGAATGCTGTCAATTCACCAGTGACTGCAGAATGAAGACTAATGAGTTTTTAATTTTTGCGCTGAAATCAAATTTTGTTTTTCACAGATGTATGTATATTTCTGGGGTGCCAGGGACAGGAAAAACTGCAACAGTGCATGAGGTGATGCGATGTCTGCAATATGCAGCGAAAGAAGATGACCTTCCATCCTTCCACTTCATAGAAATCAATGGCATGAGGCTTACAAACCCTCATCAGTCTTATGTGCAAATATTGAAGGTACAAATCTAATTTTAAGATGCAATCGATGCTGTCGAGTTTGCCATATTATTTAGTTTATTGTCCTCAAAGGAAGAAGGAATTATAGTTTATATATAATGTTGTGTACCAAACAATCCCCTGCAGAAAATTATTTTTTGTTAGGTGTATGAAAAACAAGGCTCCTTAGAAATGCATCAGGTAACTGTTTTGGTTATGAGGTATACGCTGATCAGAGTACTGAGAGAAATATGAATATGCTACTCAGTACATAATTTCCTGGAAAAAAAAGACTTATCAGTTTGGCTCAGTTGTTAGTGTGTTCCACTTGGGTCTGGTTGTGTTTTTTGACTCCACTTAAGACTTCCGCGTACAATCACATTTGAGTGCAGTATTAGGTGTTGGTGCATCATTGTTCTGATGAAATATTAATCCAAAAACATGTCTACTAGATAAGAATTCCAAGTTACATTGTGTAGGTAGAGAGCTGTCTGCTGTCCAAGTCACCATCCTTCCTTAAGCCAGCATCAGAAAAATGGATGAATACTCAGACTTGCACTTTATCTTGGAATTTTCCTGCAGTAGGAATGGCCACAATATTTACTACAAGTGTTAAACTGCAAAATGTAATCAGTTGCAACTGAGCTGCTATTAGAGAATTATAATGTAAAAGAATAAAGAAGAGTAATAAAAGAAACATTTTTAATGGTGATTAATCTTCCTACTACGTTTTGCAGAAGTGTTGTGAATTTTTTTTAAAATTCTGCTTCTTAGTTATTGACAGGACAAAATGCCACTGCAGACCATGCTGCTGCATTGCTTGAAAAGCGGTTTAGTACACCAGCACCAAAGAGGGAGACCACAGTGTTGTTGGTGGATGAGGTAAGGATTTAGCATATATAATATTATAGTATTATATTATAAAAGTTTGGATTGAGTTCTCTAATACTACAGTCGGTTCCCGAGTTACAATTGGATTCTGTTCTTGAGTATGTTGTAAGTAAATTTGTATGCAAGTTAAAACACAATGTAGTACAGTATAAAATAGCCATTCATAAGTACGAATGAATGTTCACATGTTGGACCTTTGAAAAGAATATTAGTACACCCCTATATGGGATCTCGTTCATAAGTACAAGCATTTGTAAGTTGGACGTTCATAAATCAGGGACTGCATGTACATAGAAATTCTGGTGGCATTTGATGTTTGGTAACAGTTAAACCTGGCCTATGCAGTGCTTTTCAACTTTTATATCTCATTATTTTGGATTGACCGTTTCCATAATAAAGACTTTTTTCCCCTCCAGATTGATGCTTAATTAATTCACATCAATTTTTACAGTACACTGATTAGTGTTTATCATAGTCTTTTGTACTGCCATTTTAAGTAGTTTTTAAAAAATATGAACAGAAGTGCAAGTTTTAATTTGTTTGGGAGACTTAAAAATGATATAAGGTCATAGCGGATTAGTTAATCTTCATCTGCATATAGCAAAGATGGAAACCACTGTGTTCAATCCCCAAAACACTCATTCTGTGTTAACTGTAATATTTGTAATCTTGGTATTCTATTTGATTCTGATGAGTTTCCTATCACGTGTCCACATCATGCCCACCTCCTTTGCATGATCTTATATGCTCCTGAATCCTTCATCCATAACTTCAATTCTAGACTTAACCTGTTCTAGTATACTTCTAACAGCCCCTCCCGAGTGTTAATTTTACATTATTTGAGTATTTAATGAATTCAGGTAGCATGCAGTACCTGGGAATCCATTTGTTCACCAATATATGTATCTCAATCTCGTTCCTCCATTAAGATGCTGTTTAAAAGCTCAAACAGGTAGGTTGCAGTCACCTGGCCAAAAATACTTTAATTTAAGGTGGATCAGCGTCAAAGATGGTTTAGTGAGATTGTAGACTTGCTTGCCGAGCCGGTGTGTTTGATTGCAGGCATGTCATCATCCTGCTAGGTAACGTAGTCAGTGCGCCTCCAGTGAAGCGTTCTGTCCCGCTTGTTATTTATATGCCTCAGTTTGCTGGGGTGGTTGGCATCACTTCCGGTTCTGTTTTTCAGTGGTTTGTGTATTGGATCCAGTTCAGTGTGTTTGTTGATGAGCTTCCAGTTGGAATGCCAGGCCTCCAGGAATTCCCTGGCATGTCTCTGTTTGGCTTGTGCTATTATGGATGTGTTGTCCCAGTCAAATTTGTGACCTCCTTTATCTGTGTGTATTAAGATCAGTGAGAACTGATTGTGTCTCTTGGTGGCTAGTTGGTGTTTGTATATCCTTATTGTCAGTTTTCTTCCAGTTTGGCCTGTGTAATGTTTCTCACTGTCTTTGCATAGTATTTTGTATATTAAAGTAGTTTCATTGGTTGTGGGTATGGGATCCTTTACGTTCATCAGTAGCTGTCGCAGGGTGGTTATTGGTTTGTGGGCTACCCTGATATTTAGGGGTCTGAGTAGTCTTGTGATCATCTTTGATGTACGGTAGGGTGACTAGTGTGTCTAGCTGTGTTGTTGTGGTCTGTTGTGCTTTATGGGTATCCATTTCTTTTAAAAACTCTGTACAAGTGCTCCTGTTTTGCTTTGTGCTATTCCAGGTTGCTGTAGTGTGCTGTGGCTCATTTGAAAAATGTCCTGAAGTACCTCCGTTTACAGGTGTTAGGGTGTTTGCTGATGTCATTTAAGTATCTGGTCCATATGTGTGGTCTTTCTGTATATGGTAATTTGGAGTTCCCCGTTGTTCTTACGTTCTAACATTATGTCTAGGAAGGGTAGTCGGTTATTGTTCAGTTCTTTGTGAATTTTATTCCTGTGAGGATGTTGTTTGCGTCAGGGGGTTTCTTCTCGTCTTATGCGTTTGATAATCACGAAGGTGTCATCTACATAGCGGACCCAGAGTTTGGGTTGTATAGTGGGGAGCGCTGATTGTCCTAACCTTTGCATTAACGCTTCTGCAATCAGTTCTGATATTGGGGATCCTATTGGTGTTCCGTTGATTTGTTTGAAGAGATGGTCGTCGAAGGTGAAGTTGGTTGTGAGGCACAGATCAAGCAGTTTCAGGTGCTGTCCTTGTTGATGCTGTTGGTGTTGTGGGGTGCCTGCCTTCCTGATTCGTCCAGCAGTGTGGCAGTTGTCTCTTTGGCTAAGTTGATGTTTATGGATGTAAACAGTGCTGTTATGTTGAAGGATATCATTGTCTCGTCCTCTTCTGTCTTGGTGTCTTTGATGTTGAGGAATTCTTGGGAGGAGTGGATGGAGTTGGTAGTATTGCCAACTAAGTATTTCTGTTTCCATTGTAGTTCTTTAGCTAGTCTATATGTTGGTGTACCTGGTAGTGAGACAGTGGGTCTGGGGGGGACTCCTGGCATGTGTATCTCAGGGAGTCTACAGAAATGGACTTTCTATGCTTCCATGGACTCCCTAAGGTACATGCTAGTAAAGTTACCTAGCAAGGTGACGAAACATCTGCAGTCAAACACACCGGCGCAGTGAGTAACTTCATCTACAATCCGAGCTACAAACCTCAAAAAAAAATGGCTCAGTGGTTTTAAAGTACCAATCGTCATCAGTTGATATTTGGTCTTTTAAAAAAACAATTATACATAACACCCTGCTGTAGACTGAACTACAGCAATCTGTCAAGCTTGCTTTAATGATACCACCCTCTTGTCACCTCAAACAGTAAGAATTATGAGAACAACAAGGTTATGGAAACACCATTGCTTCCTCTGTAAATCATGTGCCTTCCTGTACATGGTTGTTCCTTTGTTGCTAGGTCAAATATGCTGCAAATCCTTATCTAAAACCATTGGGAGACCTAGTCAAGAAAATTACCTACTTTAACTGCCACCATGTGAACTGGAGTGATCAATGTGCTACCTTCCAAAAGCACAATACTGCATGATCTTGTGAAATAATAATTAAATCAAACTAAGCTAGGCTTTGAATTCACTTACATGTAACTTCAGTTTTCGATATGTATTCCTCTTAGCTTGATCTTCTGTGGACCCGGAAACAGAATGTTATGTATAATCTGTTTGATTGGCCAGCACGAAAGCAGGCAAAATTAGTGGTTGTGGCAGTAGCCAACACGATGGACCTGCCAGAGAGGATCATGATGAACCGGGTAGCAAGCAGACTGGTGAGCAAAATCTATTCTAGAAATAATTGCTGTTTGTTTTTCTGGTAAACTGTGCAAACATTTAAGATATTTGATGTGAGACTCCACTGAAAAGTTGCCTCTTGTTTGGGTTGTTCATTTTTTTAAAAACGAATGATGCACATGTTTTGCTTAATTGTTAGCATTGCAGTATTCTGTTAGATAGTTAAGTTGTAAAAGTGAGAAACTTAATAGATTATTAATTTCTTTCAAAATAGGGACTGACCAGAATGTCATTCCAACCATATACCTACAAACAGTTGCAGCAAATCATTTCATCAAGACTCAACCAATTAAAGGCTTTTGAAGATGATGCTATTCAGTTAGTAGCCAGAAAAGTAAGTATAGTTGAATAAAGCTGACAGTTGATGAATTGAAGATGATGAGTTTTTAAGAAAAAATCTTTTTCATCAGGAGAAACCGCAGACTTGCAGATAGATTATTGCACGGAGGAAAAGAGCACATTTTTCCATCTGAGCAATAGAATTGGATACCAACCACTTGTGTATATAAGTACCAGGCTACTCTTTTGTACCATGCAGGTAGCAGCTCTGTCTGGTGATGCAAGGCGTGCTCTCGACATTTGCAGGAGAGCTGCTGAAATATGTGAATATTCAGACACTCGGCAAACTATATCCAAACTTGTGAGAATGCCTCACGTGATACAGGCTCTCGATGAAATGTTTTCCTCACCCTACATTACTGCTATAAGGTAAATAATTAAATGCTATGTTGACATGACTTGACTGAGACTGTTCACTTCAGATAAGTACATGTTTGATACATTTTATTGTACAGTGTTCTTTTGGTGATTCCCAGATTGAATTCGATGAAGTGTTTCTCATGTATGTTGAATTCTTGTTGTGCTCAACTCGTATTCTCTTAGTTTCTTCTCTTCTCAAGGGAAGGTTTTTAGAGCATTGTAAATGATATTAAAGGTTTGTCATCTCCAATGAACTAAAACTGGTTCTTTGACAGCTCAAAGACCCATTCATATCCTCGTGGATTTTCCTGTTATGTGTGTGGCCCATTGGTCTATCCTCTGAGGCCCAATTACTGCTGCAAAGAAATCTGCAAAGAAGTTCTTTTGGGGAGAAGCACTGCCTGTTCATGAAGTTTGAAAATATCAGTCAATTGTGTCAGAAAGCAAGTATGACTCAACAAGAAATCTTAAATCTTGCCAAATATTAGGTTTGTGGATTTAATTAATTCAACTGACAAGAAACATTGTCCAGCTGCTGAAATCCTCAGTCATGCTATTGCTATTTTCAGATTTAACAATTGTGGTACTCTTTTGGCTGGTCTTCCATTTCCTTGCTAAATCACACAATTTAGGTTTTGCTGGTTCGGAAAGCATTTAATGTCCATTCCTAATTCAACTTGAGAAGGTATTGGTGCGCTGCCTTCTTGAAATGTTGCAGTCTTGTGGGTGTAAGTATATTGCAGAGCTGTGAGGGAAGAAATTCCAGGATTTTAACCAAAAGGCAGTGAAGGACAATATATTTCTAATTTAGGATAATTTATGGCTTGGAGGTGGTGTTGTCACACATCAGTTGCTGTTGGCCTGCTAAGTGGAAGAAATTGTGGATTTGGAAGGTGCTGGCCGAGGAGATTCAGTGATGGTAGTTCTATTGAATGTAAAAGGGCGACTGTTAAATTTTCTCTTGTTAGAGATGGCCATTCCCTGACACTTCTGTGCTCAAGCCTGAATGTCGTCCAAATCTTGCTGCATTTGGACCTGGACTGCTTCAGTATGAAATTGTGAATAGAGCTGAACATTATGCAGTCACCAACGAATATTGCCACATCTGACCTTTATAATGGAGAGAAGGTTGCTAACGAAGCAACTGAGGGTGGTTAAGACTAGAACTACAATGAGGAGCTCATGCAGTGATGCCCTGTGCCTGAGATGATTGAACTCCAACATCCACAACCATCTTCTGTTGTGCTAGGTTTAACTGCTCTTGCTGGACAGTCTGTCCTTAGAGTCCCATCAATTCCAGATATGCGCAGGCTCTTTGATGCCTCTGTATTGAGGCAAGTAACCCTCAGTTTTCCTCAGCTCATTTGTCCATATTTGGACCAAGATAGTAATGAGGTCAGGAGCTGAGTGACCCTGGTAGAAACCAAACTGAGCATCAATGAGCAGCTTATTGTTTTGTAAGTGCCAGTTGATAGCCTGGCTGGCATACATGATGCTAGGTGCCTTAGGAGGAGGCCAAGATGGGTCATCCAGTTGGCACTTCTGGGTAAAGGTGCCATCTTCCACTTTCTGTAAGGTTGAGCTCATCCAACACATTGCTGCGAGATTAGTGTGCCTACCTATGTTTCAGGGCTACCCACCTGTCCCAATTTAACAGTGCAATATTCTGATATTGAGTTCTTTGGTGGGATAAGAATGTAATTGATCAGTTATAATTTCAAAGTTTCAAGTGATTGAGATTGCAGTTTCTGTACTAATATTTTCCTCCCTTTCTGTGCCACAGAAATGCATCTGCCCAGGAACAAATGTTTATGAGAGCCGTGCTCGCTGAATTTCAACGACGTGGGCTAGAAGAAGCAACATTTCAGCAGGTGGTTACTGACACATTTTATAACCTACTCCTCAATAATTGCATGGAGTGACCTTTTTTTTTCAAAAGAACTGCATTTTTAATGAACTGGGAAGGATGAGGTAGCTATGTGCATCTTTCATACATGTTCAAAAACCTATTAATATATTCTATTTGTAGATCATTTTAATCCGTAGCAAATCAGTGAGAGTCCTTTGATATTTGTTTTGAAAATCTGGTTATTTGTTTTACTAATGCAAGTGAACTATTCAACTTATGGTCAGTAAATTTACCAATAATTTCAGCAAATAATCTGTCAAACTTGGCAATAATCATATTTCAGCTATTCATCCATTGCATGGCTTGGTGTTATTATCACTGAATTGTTAATTCAGAGACCCAGGTAATGTTCTGGGGACCAAACTTCATATCCCACCATGACATAATGGAATTTGAATCCAATAAAAATCTGGAATTAAGAGTCTAATGAAGAGCATGAATCCATTGTTAACTGTCAGAAAAAGACAATAATGCCCTTGAGGGATGGAAATTGCCATCCTTACGTGTGACTTTAGACCCACAACAATGTGGTTAACTCTTAACTGCCCTCTGAGCAATTAAAGATGAGCAGTTAATGTTGGACTAGCATTTGATGACACCTTCATCCTCTAAATGAATAAAAAAATGCAATATATTGCGCAGTAAAATGTGCATTGCTGTTTAATCCTATAGTTTCATAAGCATTGGGACAGAATATTCCAATTACTTTTCTTGCATTGCTCCTAATTTTAGTACAAAATGCACTTGTTCGATAATTTTGTCAATAGAATAGGTGAAAAAATTATTTTGAATTATAATGTAATCAGTCCAGTTTTCTGACACTTCTTGTGACTTTAGGAAGAAATTGGAAAGGGAAAATATAACCTAGTTAACAACAAGCAACAAATGTGACAGGGTGGGAATGCCAAGTCAAAATGCTTATGCTTTAAAATATCGGCAGAAACTCTCAAACTGCTTTCCATGTTTCTCTCAAAGTTGAGTTGAAAATATGTTGGTAGACTAAATTAACATTTTTATGTCAGTAATTCTTCAGCCACACCTATTATGTTTCCCATCAAGATGTGCGACATTACAAAATCTTAATGTCAGTATAACGTTTTACGGTTTTTTTTAAGGTTACCAACATTTTAATGCAGTACTTTGTGCAAAGTTCAAGATTCTAAATTTATTAATCTGCCCTTATCATTTTTCCAGATCTACCAGCAGCATATTGGACTATGTAGAATAGAAGGTCTGCAGCCTCCAACAATGTCCCAAACTATGTTGATTTGTACAAAGCTTGGCGCTTGTCGTCTACTTCTTGTTGAATCTAGTAAAAATGATCTTTACATGCGAGTACGATTAAATGTTAGCCAAGATGATGTCATGTATGCTTTAAAAGACTAATTTGTTAAATTTCTGTAATGCAATATGAATTGTACAGTGTGTTGTAGTGTGTTGTTTTAATATTGTAATTCTTAACCAATATAAATCTTTTTAACAACTTCAGATTTTCTATAGAAATCTTTAGGGATAAGGTTATTTTAAGCTCTTTGTATAATAAAGAATTCTGAAATCTGCATTACACGGTTTGGTATTTTCAGTAGAGCATAATACAAGGCCACAAGTGCTGTACTGTAGTCCCGTATTTCTCTACATACTAAATGTTATTTATTTCCCACTGTATTCCTCATGTTACATAGTGTTCCTTAAAAAAGGCATGTAACATGTTCCTGCGTGGCACGGTGGCTCAGTAGTTAGCACTGTTGTCGCACAGCACGAGGAACCCTGGTAGGTTAAGTAATTCAAATTCAGTAAAGTGATCAGGGACAACGGGGTGTGACTGCAAGTGAGGCAGGTAGGGGGATCCTGAGTTCAGGAGTGGAGGAGCCTCAGCTTTTGACCTTATCCAACAGGTACGAGATACTTGCTCCCTGTGTGGATGAGGAAAAGGGCTGCGGGGAGGATGAACCAGCTCACCACGGCACCATGGTGCAGAAGGCCATTCAAGAGGGGGGAGCAAAAAGACAAGTGGTAGTTATAGGGGGTTCTATAGTTAGGGGGATAGATAGTATCCTTTGCAAGCCGGATCAGGAGTCCCGCATGGTGTGTTGCCTGCCCGGTGCCAGGGTGCAGGACAATTCTGACCAGCTTGAAAGGATATTGGAGCAGGAGGGGGAGGATCTAGTTGTTGTGGTCCACGTTGGGACTAACAACATAGGCAAGGCGAGGATGGAGAACCTGTTTGGGGATTATCAAGCACTAGGAACGAAATTAAGGAACAGGTCCTCGAGGGTCATAATCTCCGGATTACTGCCCGAGCCACGTGCAAATTGGCTTAAGGATAAGAAAATTAGGGAAGTAAACACGTGGCTAAGGGAGTGGTGTGGGAAAGAGGGGTTCCATTTCATGGAGCATTGGCATCAGTTTTAGAACCAGAGGGATCTGTACTGATGGGACGGTCTCCACCTGAACCGATCTGGAACCAGTGTCCTAGTGAAAAGGATAAATAGGGTGGTCACTAGGACTTTAAACTAGTGAGTTGGGGGGAAGGGAAAGGGAAAACAACAGGGAGTATGATGGTAAATAAAAAGGTAAGCAGCAGGTTAGCATGTGTGCAGGAGGGTTTAAGTTCAAGGCAGACTATGAAAGAAGCAAAAAGGAAGGATAACTCAGGAGATGATATGAGAGATGTTGGAAATCATGAGGGTAAGAAAGCTAGCATAAAGGCACTTTACCTGATAGCTCGTAGCATTTGTAACAAGGTTGATGAGTTAACGGCACAAATCATTGCGAATGAATATGATTTGGTAGCCATTACGGAGACATGGTTACAGGATGGTCACGACTGGAAGTTAAATATCCAAGGGTACCAGACTATTCGGAAGGACAGACAGGAAGGTAAGGGAGGTGGTGTAGCTCTGATATTCCAGGACGACGTCAGGGCGGTGCTGAGAGATGATATAGGTTCTATGGAGAATGAGGTTGAATCCATTTGGATGGAAATTAGAAATTCTACGAGGAAAAAGTCACTGATAGGCGTAGTCTATAGGCCACCAAATAATAACATCACATTGGAGCGGACAATAAACAAAGAAATAACTGATGCCTGTAAAAATGGTACAGCAATTATCATGGGGGATTTTAATCTACATGTAGATTGGTCGAACCAGCTCAGTCAGGGTAGCCTTGTGGAGGAGTTTGTTGAGTGTATCCGTGATAGTTTTCTTGAACAGTATGTAATGGAACCGACGAGGGAGCAAGCTATCCTATATCTGGTCCTGTGTAATGAGACAGGAATAACTAATGACCTCGTAGTTAGGGATCCCCTTGGAAGGAGTGATCACAGTATGGTTGAATTTAGAGTACAGATGGAGAGTGTGAAGATAAAATCCAATACCAGGGTCCTGTGCTTGAACAAGGGGAACTACAATAGAATGAGGGAGGACTTGGCTAAAGTAGACTGGAAACAAAGATTTTATGGTGGGACAGTTGACGAGTAGTGGAGGACTTTCAAAGCAATTTTTCAAAGTGCTCAGCAAAAGTATATTCCAGTGAAAAGGAAGGACTGTAAGAAAAGGGGTAATCTGCCATGGGTGTCCAAAGAAATAAGGGAGGCTATCAAATTGAAAGAGAAGGCATACAAAGTGGCCAAAAACAGCATGAAACTAGAAGATTGGGAAAACTTTAACGGTCAACAGAAAGCCACAAAAAGAGCTATAAAGAAAAGGAAGATAGAACATGAGAAAAAACTAGCACAGAATATAATGACAGATAGCAAAAGTTTCTATAAATATATAAAATGAAAAAGAGTGGCTAAAGTAAACGTTGGCCCTTTAGAGGATGAGAAGGGGAATTTAGTTATGGGATATGATGAAATGGCCGAGGCATTGAACAGGTATTTTGTATCGGTCTTCACCGTGGAGGACACTAATAACATGCCAGTAATTGACAAAGAGATGAAGGTAGATGAGGACCTGGAAACAATCATTATTAGGGAAGAGGTAGTGTTGGGCAAGCTAATGGAGCTAAGGATTGATAAGTCTCCTGGCCCTGATGGAATGCATCCCGGGGTACTAAAAGAGATGGCGGGAGAAATAGCAGGTGCACTGGCGGTAATTTTCCAAAATTCGCTGGACTCTGGGGCAGTCCCAGCAGATTGGAAAACAGCAAATGTGATGCCACTGTTTAAAAAGGGAAGTAGACAAAAGATGGGGAATTATAGACCCGTCAGCTTAACCTCTGTAGTGGGGAAGATGCTTGAGTCTATTATCAAGGAGGAAATAGCAAGGCATTTTGATAGAAATTGTCCTGTTGGGCAGACGCAGCATGGGTTCATGAAGGGCAGGTCATGCTTGACAAATCTTTTGGAATTCTATGAAGACATTACGAGCAAGGTGGACAATGGGGACCCAGTGGATGTGGTGTACCTAGATTTCCAAAAGGCCTTCGACAAGGTGCCGCACAAGAGGCTACTGCGTAAGATAAGGATGCATTGCGTTATGGGTAAAGTATTAGCATGGATAGAGGATTGGTTGACTAATAGGAAGCAAAGAGTGGGGATAAATGAGTGCTATTCTAGCTGCCAGGCAGTGACTAGTGGTGTGCCCCAGGGATCGGTGATGGGACCGCAATTATTTACAATTTATATAGATGATTTGGAGTTGGGGACTACGTGTAGGGTGTCAAGGTTTGCAGATGACACTAAGATGAGTGGCAGAGCAAAGTGTGCAGAGGACTGTGAAACTTTGCAGAGGAACATAGATACATTGAGTGAGTGGGCAAAGGTCTGGCAGATGGAATACAATGTAAATAAATGTGAAGTCATACATTTTGGTAGGAGTAATAGTAAAAAGGGTTATTACTTGAATGGTAAAAAGTTGCAGCATGCTGCTATGCAGAGGGACCTGGGTGTCCTTGTGCATGAATCACAGAAGGTAGGTCTGCAGGTACAACAAGTAATTAGGAAGGCAAATGGAATTTTGTCCTTCATTGCTAAAGGGATTGAGATTAAAAGCAGAGAGGTTATGTTGCAGCTGTACAAGGTGCAGGTGAGGCCACACCTGGAGTACTGTATGCAGTTTTGGTCTCCTTACTTGAGAAAGGATGTACTGGCACTGGAGGGGGTGCAAAGGAGGTTCACTAGGTTGATTCCGGAGTTGAGGGGGTTGGCTTATGAGGAGAGACTGAGTAGATTGGGATTATATTCATTGGAATTCAGAAGATTGAGGGGGGATCTTATAGAAACATATAAAATTATGAAGGGATTAGATAAGATAGAAGTAGAGAGGATGTTTCCACTGGCAGGTGAAGCTAGGACAAGAGGGCATAGCCTCAAGATTAGAGGGAGCAGATTTAGGACTGAATTGAGAAGGAACTTCTTCACCCAGAGGGTTGTTAATCTATGGAATTCCTTGCCCGGTGAAGTAGTTGACGCTACTTCAGTAAACGTTTTAAAGATAAGGTAGATTTTTTTTGAACAATAAAGGAATTAAGGGATACATTGAAAATGTGGTTAAGTGGATCTGAGTCCATGAAAAGATCAACCATGATCTTATTGAATGGCGGAGCAGGCTCGAAGGGCCAGACGGCCTACTCCTGCTCCTAGTTCTTATGTTCTTATGATTGCACCCTCGGGCAACTGTTTATGTGGAGTTTGCACATTCTCCCTGTGTCTTCGTTGGTTTCCTCTGGATGCTCCTGTTTCCTCCCACAATTCAAAGATGTGGAGGTTAGGTGGGTTGGCTGTGCTAAATTGCCCATAGTGTCCAGGGATATGCAGACTAGGTGGATTTGCCATGGGAAATGCAGGGTTACAGGTAGGGGGTGGTTCTGGGTGGGATTCTCTTCAGAGGAATGGCCTGCTTCCACACTGTAGGGAAGCGCTGAATGTGTCGTTACTTTTATGAATTAAAATGCAAAATTTCTTTCAACAATGATGTGTAGACTGACTATAATGTTTAGTTATTTAATTTTACCTGACCAGTGAAACAGAACGAAGCCTTATCAATAAATATTTACAGCCTTAATCTTTCAGTACGTAGCCAGTGGAGTCAAACTCTGGGAATCTGAAGTTTTATGGATTGCGTCAAAATGTGATGAATACAAAGTTTGGAAAATAGGTTATAAAACAAAAGTATAATTTTACGATGCCTTTCAAAATAAAAATATTGTTCCTCGGTTGCATATATTGAAACAAGACCATCCTTGTATAAAATTGCCCCTTGTTTTCCATTAAAAACTTTGACTTGTATATAAGCCACTTTCTTACCATCACAATGCCCAAGTTCATAGAAAACTTGCTTTCACTGCACATTGGCAATTCCACAGACTACAAACAAATGGAGAATGGAGACCAGCAACCTCATAAAGGAGCAGCATTGAAAAAATACCTAAGTTTTGTAATATCTACTCCTGTAAACCTTTAAACTTGTGCATGGTGATTTAAGTTTCCAGATCCTCTTGCTGGAGAAAGATAAACAATGTTCATGTAGTCTGCTTTTGAATGACTTGTTGCAACAATGGAGTAATTGTTTTGATTCTTTAATCAGTCTCTATCATCAACTCCAGACATCAGGTGAGGAAAATCCAGTGGAGACAGATTTGAGAAACTTGGCACCAAAATTCTCATATTTTACCTAATCCTGCTTATATATACCAAATTGCATATACATAGTATTTCTTTGATCATTTCTGAATGTTGATCCAAATCATTTGTTTAATGTGGTCAATACAAAGAGGTGGATCAACAAAATATGGAATATTACTTCTGATTAACTCGCTTGAAAAGAAAGCAGCTGCTATTGTTTTTATTCAGAGGGGTTCAAAATGGAAAAGGCAATAAAGAAAAATATTCCTCTATTTAGGTATGCTGAAGGATGCTTTACTGAGCCATAAAAGATACAATATTGACAAGTATAGATGAACACAGGAATCTTAAATGTTCCACGCACCTAATATTCTCAAGTTCATAAAGAGGCATAGAATATGAAAGAGTTGATGGTCAAACTCTCTCGTGGAGTGATGCAGTTAGCCGTATATATTTCAAAGGAAATGTTAAACTGAGACCTGTTTTCCACTGCAAAATGGTGGAAAAGACCTTTTGGCGATATTCAAACAGTCGGGATTCTGCCAACGCCACTGAAACATTTAACATACATGTGATATACAATGCAGAACTGGCCACTTGGTCAAACCAGTTCATGCACCATTGGAGCTTCTATCTTTTCCCGGATAAATCCATCATGGTAACTAAATGATTTCCTACTCCCTCATTGTTTAGCTTTTTCGTCAAAATATTTACTAGGTTATCTTGAGATCTTTGCTGAATGCACATTGGCTGCTATCCATGTTTACAAAGCAAGCGGCTGTTAAAATACTTTGGTACCAAGAAGGACATGACATCCCAAATGAATGCAAGTCTTTTTCACCCCACCGCTTAGAATACATCTTATCAAAGCATCAGTGGACAGGGATTGCAAAAACCCACGATGAGGCAAGTGGGCCGGAAAGAAGAAACATGAACTGAGTTTGCGCAGTAACAGCCGCCAGCGCACGGGACCGGAAGGTGGTACCTCTGGCCCAGCCCCTGTGGAGAAACGCATTCACCACTCGGTCCTCCTGATTATATCACGTACGGCGTTCAGTTGGAGGAAGTTGTTGTTTTAAACTCGACAGTTTTTTTCTCCCCCCCCCCCCCCCCCCCTCTCTTGTTAAGTTTCTCGTGGGCTGGCGCCTGCCAGATGCACCATGTTTGCAGGAAAAAACAAGAAGCCGCCGAGCAAAGGCCAAGGCGCAGCAACTGCTAAAGAAGTGAGCGCACGAATGAAAACAGCTCTTGGTTATTACCTTTTTTCATGGTGTTTCCAGCAGAAATGCGCGGGTCTGGTGGGGATCGGGACGCGGGTGGCAGTGTGCTGTGAAATGTTTGTATAGATACCGGGACATCTGAAACGAAATTAGAAATTGCTGGAGAAGCTCAGTTCTGTAGTTGTGGAATCCCCTGTGAAAGGGGTGAAAGCAGTTCCGATGAAGACTCACCGGACTCGAAACGATCAACATGCTTTCCACAGATGCTACCAAACCTACTGAGTATCTGCAGCAGTTTCTGTTTGTCTTCACCCTCTTACAAATTGCATAACATTTTACACTAATTTCAGGCTTTTTTTGTGTTTGTTGTTCTGTAATAGCTGTAGTTGTAAATACGTGTTTATGTTGTCATGGTGAACTAATCTTATTTTGAAAAGAAACGAAGTGGCCGTTTACGTTTTGCAGATTGGTGTTACTGCAAGGTAACAGGTATGTCATATCATGATTAAGTGGGATGTGATTAAACACTTCACCGAGCAGTGTAAAATATCTGCCAATGACATCGAGCCCATCTTCCGTATTATACACTTGTTCAAGGGTTGTGAATGACCGTGACTTTTAAGATTATATTTTAAATCCCAAGTTGCCTTCTGGAATGAGTGCAATCCGTGTATTGATGGTGTTCCCATAAACCAGAAAATCCCAGGTTTTTGAGCTGTTTGTGATGACGGAATGGTGGTACATGTCAAGGAGCTTATTGTTTGTGATTTATACTCAAGGGTAGGAATATTACTGTTGGGAAATAGAGCTTGATTAAGAAACAGCAAGCATTCTGGGCGGGCACACCCCCTGGATGCAGAGTACAGTTGTTAACTGCCTCAACTGAAGGTCTTATTCCCAACTCCAGTAGAGTATCTTTATGTGCCAGTATGTTGCTTACAGTTCCAGCACCAACAATCTTTAATTTTTATTCAGCCGTTGAGTGGAATCATCAACTTTTGTAAACATAGCACTGTAACTAACTAGATTAATACTGACCAGAGAACTAGTTCATCTGCAGACAGGGAAATTTTATCCTGTTTGTCTGAGCTTGACTTGATTCAGGCCCAGTGGTAAAATGCAATATAGAACTATTACTGTACAATGCAATTTTAAAATTTAAATATGTAAGTCTAATCATTTTCACTTGTTTTCATTTTGGGTTGTGTTCTTGTATGCTAGGTGGCACATGAGTACAGGTATTAAAGTGATGATATTTGCTAAATTCTGGATACATTTTGATTAGCTCGGAAAAGGAGGTGGCTGGTTTGTCTGCAGCACAACTATTTAGCGACTTTATTGTGGCATGGTAGTGGTGTCCTTACTCCTGGACCAGGAGGCTCGGGCTGAAGTCCTACCTGTTCCAGAAGTGTGCAATAACATCTCTCTGAACAGGTTGATCAGAAAAATGGATTAGATGTGTTTTTAAAAAATTGCTTCAGTTGCAGTTAGCTACTATTCATTGGAGGTGTAATATATAGTACACATCCTCCTCCAGGAGGAGCCAAGACAGAAGTTGCTAGAAACTCAGCAGGTCTGGCAGCACCTATGAAGAAAAAAATCAGAATTAACGTTTTAGGACCTGAAACATTAACTCTGACTTTTTTGTTCATAAATGCTGCCAGACCTGCTGTGCTTCCAGCAACTTCTGTCTTTGTTCCTGATTCACAGCATCGACAGTTCTTTCTGTCCTCCAGGAGGATTCTGATATGTTTGAATAACAGCAATTTATGTGTTACTTCCTGAAATTCTGCCAAGGGCCCCCAAATGACTACAATAATGAGCATTGTACTTGGTGACTCCCAAGTTTTGTTCCCAGATCATTGCAAATTTAAGTTGATCCCAGCCGACAGGCGAAAAATGAGCTTAATTCCTGTGCATCGTTGCTTGTTTAGAGAACCCACATGGAAGATGCTTATTGGTCGCAAGAGGTTTTTTTTGTCTCTTAGCTATTAGCGCTTTTCAATCCAGGCCAATGCAAGAGCAGTTGCCAGTTGACCAAGGATAGAAATTCTCTAAATGTTTCCTAGCACAAATTACAATTTCCAGGAGAACATTAGAAAGGAAAACTAAGATCTCTTTCTGCAAAACAGGACGTGCAAACATTATAAACAAACCTTAAATGAGAACATAATGTCAAAATTGGTGACAGCAGAGTTGGAAGTATTATTGTCAGGTGCTCTGAGTTTCATTATGTATTAAGACATTGAAGAAAGTGAAGAAAAATTACTAAAATAATACCAGAACTAAGAAGGTAGATATTTCAGAAAAATTGAACAGATTCAGTGGGTGATCCCTCAAAAATGAAGAAAATTATGAAAGGTTTTGATAGGGTAGAGGTCGGGAGATATTTCTCTTCCTGCAGGTGAGACCAGAGCGAAGAACCATAAGTATAATGTAGTCGCTAATAAATCCAGTAATGATTTTTTTTTTTAAAATCATTCATGGGTTGTCGGCATCACTGGCCAGTTTTTATTGCCTGTCTCTCATTGCCCTTGAGAAGCTGGTGTTGAGCTGCCATCGTGAACCGCTGTAGTCCACCTGTCGGTTGACCATGATGCCGTTAGGGAGGGAATTCCAGGAGTTTGACCCAGCAACAGTGGAGGAACGGCAATATATTTCCAAGTCAAGATGGTGGGTGTCTTGGTGGGAAACTTGCAGGTGGTGGTCTATCTGCTGCCCTTGTCCTTCTGGATGGAACTGGTTGTGGGACTGGAAGATGTTGGGAGTAGCTGAAGATGGTTTGTCCTTGGAAACTATCCTGAGGAACTTCTGCAGAGGTGTCCTGGAATTGAAATGACTGATTTGCAGCAACCACACCATATTCCTATTTACCAGGTAGGACTCCAACCAGCAGAGGGTTTGCCCCCGACAGCCATTGATTCCAGATTTGATACAGCTCCATCATAAGGTGAGAAGTCCACTGTCTACAAGGCACAAGTAAGGAGTAAGCTTTAGTACTTCCCACTTGCCTCAATGAGTGCAGCTGGAACAACACTTGAGAAGCTTAATGCTATCCAGGACAAAGCAGCCCACTTGATTGGCATCACATCGACAAACATTTACTCCCTCCTCCACTGATACACAGCAGTAATATGTATGATCTACAAGACGCACAGTAAAAATTCATCAAAGATCCTTAGACAGCATTGTCCAAACCTGAAACCACTACTATCGAGAAGAAGGGCAGCACACACATGGGAATACCCACACGTGCAAGTTGCCTCAAAGCCACTCACCACCCTGACTTGGAAATATATCATTGTTCTTTGCATTGCTTGATCTGCATCTTTGAATTCTGCCCTTAATGGCATTGTGGGTCTACCTATAGTGCATCAACTGCAGTAGTCCGCCAAGAAGGCAGCTCACCATCACCTTCACAAGAGTAACCAGCGTTGGCCCAGCCAGCAATGCCCATATTTCACGAGTTAATTTTTTAAAAATTGTAGCCTAGACCCTTTTAAGGGGAAGCTAAATAACCAAATTTGGGATAAAGAAGCAGCAGCATATATTGATGGAATTGCTGAAGAGAGAAGGATTTGAGTGGAGCATAAGCAGGTTTTTTGGGCTGAATGGCTTACTTGTGTAAATAGTGTGTATGTAATGCAACATATTATGCTGGCAGCAGTCTGCTATACAGACAAATCCCTACACGTTATAAATCTAGGAGTTAATGTTTGCCATTAACTGGTTCAGAATAGAAATTTCGACATAAAGAATATGACACCTTGCATGAACACTGGCATTTATTTACTATTAACATAATTGCAGTTAACTTTGTTGTATATTCCAGGTTAATAGGCAATTGGAGGAAAGTCTTATGACACAGATGATCTTTTTTTGACACAGCTTGGCCTGTTTGTAGACTTCTCACCTGAGGATATGATGATGAATACATACGGGGATGATGATGATGACGACGGAGACCTGGAAGCAGAGTTAGCTGAAATAACTGGAAAGAAGCCTGTCACTAAACCAAAGCCCAAAGGAAAATGTTGGTATACTTCTGATTGTAATCTAGTTAACTAGTTTAATCTTTGTTAGAATTAATAGCAACTATTATTTCCTGAAAGCTTTGATGTTTTAAAATCATTTATACAAGCCAATACTTAGTTGAAATAATGAAATTTACTGATAATCAGCAAGCCCATTTAATATACGCAGACTGTACAGATGTATCTTTGGCCATGATATGGTCTAGCAATTTGACCTGAAATGTAATATTGTCACTGGAAAAAAAAAAAGTGACCGAATAAATGGATGGCTTTCTAATACCTTAATTGTTTCACATTTTAAGCTATGGACTCTGCTATAGATTTGAAAACAAATAAGATGTTATTCAGGAAAACATTGTAGAGAAAAATGATAGAAACTCCAGTTGATTTGACTTAGTGAAGGAAAAGATATTCTGTTGAATTACCATATAATCTTAAATGCTATAGTGCCCTTTGGACAGAGACACCCTGGAACATTTTCTGAAAAGGTTTCTATTCTAATGAGTATTTTGTGATCGTAGTTTTTAACTTGACATTCTTAATTATTTTTGGTTATCTACTCAACTGTTACTTGAAGTGAGTGAAAAACAAACTTCAGTATGATGGGAACACCAGCGGCAACGTGTAGGGAGCTATCACTGTAGTCAGCTCAAGGACTGAACTTCCACTTCAGATCAGCAGAAACAAATAATAATGAGTAGTTCCAAAGACCACAATGTGGCAAAAACCAACCACCATCAACCATGTTCTTGAAGGAGAGTAGGAGTAGACCAGGCAAGTCTTAGTTGTGCATGAGAACATTCTTATCATTCACTTTAACTCAAAGCATTGTGCATGACTAATAAATGAATTGATTGCATGATTCCAAACTTTAATGAAGGAGAAATCATTTCAAAGTTCCATTCAGAATGGAGGTGGATAACCTAATGCAATATTCATGTGAATTATATTACTTGCATTGTGCATAAGGCATGTCTGTTAAAATTAATGCAGTTAACGAAAGCATTGTCGCTGTAGCCATTTTGTTACCAGTCCAAAAATTCTATTGGATAACTCTGGGACAGGAAATGATGCGTATGCCTCTTCCTTTCCCCATTAAGAATTCTATGATAGTGTAATAGAACACACTTTCCTTTTAAATTTATACTTCCATTGCTTTGCCTTCTAGAAGAATTTCTTAGTTGCATGTACGTGACAAAGTTGACCACTGGTGCCTACTGGAGCTTGTAAAAGCTCTTTCTGGATCTTTTCAATTGAATCTTTTGCAGGAGTCAGAAGAGTTAATTTAAATAATGGAGATGCTGAGTCCAGCTGTGTTCTAAAACACTTAGAAGCGCAGAATTCTGTTGTAAGGCTCATGTTCATTGGAGTCAGTTTTATACTCCCATTTCTCTTGAATTCAACATTTAATAAGATTGTTTTGAGACTCTCACCTTAATTTGGGATAAAGTGAAGGGGAGGTCAAATGGTCCGTTCTGAAGTCTGCCCAACAACTGCAAGCCTTGGTGATCTGCCTATTAAAGATTAAAGGGAGGTCCGAGTTTCTTTTGCAGAAAGAAGGGCTTCAAACTTGGAGATAACAGTAGCAGCATCTGGGTTTGCAGTGCTACCATGAGACTGAGACTAAGACTGCTAGTCTCCAAAGTCCCCAGGAAGATGTTGAGACTGAAACAAAAAGAAAATTGCTGGAGAGGCTCAGCAGTCTGGTAGCATCTGTGAAGGAAAAAACAGAATTAAAGTTTCGGGTCCGGTGACCCTTCCTCAGAACTGAAGTCTGAGGACTCAGAAGTGATGTTGGGACTGATAGTTTGTAAATAGTTATGCTTTAATTTGTCCATCTGTTTCCAAGATAAGAGAGTTAGTCTCGAGGATAGTGAAGCAGTATTTCTACCTAGGACCAAGATGCATGTGATCCATCTTTCAAAATAAGACAGACTTTGAGAAAGAAGAGCTCCAGAGGCATTGCTGAAACTCTCAAGACACAGGATCTGAAAAAGAAACAACAGCTGGAAGTTGAAAATCTTTATAGTTTGTCACACTTAAATTGGGACCCTGTATTCAGCTCGGCGGGGGGGGGGGAACAAATTTTTAAGGATTTGAAATAGACTGGAAGATTCACCTGGATTGGATTAAAGGGAGTATGTCTAGGTGAAAAAAAGTTCAATTGTGAAATCACTTTTGAGTTTAGGAGTTACCAGGTTGCGAAAGAAAAGAATGAAATAAATCTTCAGGAGCTTACAATCACTTAGGACTGGGTCTAGAGTATATCTGTGAAGTAGTTATTTTGAATGTGTTAAAAGGAAAAGGAGAAAGTTGTGTACTTTATTTTAAAGTTAAGTTGCCTACAATAAATAGTACTTAGTCACTAGCACTTTCAATCTGTGGTAAAAGTCTTAAAGCATGATGTCATGTCAGCCTTTCAGCTATTAACTGGATATTTAAATTTCATTTTTAAAAGGTTAATGACCTGTATGAAGTTTGTAACAGAATCCTTTGAATGCTAATGAAAACCATGAATTATAAAGCATTGACTAAAGGTATCTGTAAAGATAGTGCACTGGAAGAATTTTGGTACCATAAATGACAAAACTATAAAATTGACAGATTGCACCTTCAACTTGCTTCTAGTACAGGAATTTTTTTCAAGAAAAAAACATTATTAGCTCCTGTGAATTTTCTCTATTCTATAAGAATGTAAAATAGCATCAGCATTTTGTT